AAACATACCATCACTTTGTATCAATGACATGTTACTGAGGGGTTAGATGCTTTACCATCATACTACATTGTCTTTGATTAAGAGGACCGCCTCCGTGGTCTTTTTACCGGTATTGTTTTTAAAAATCCCCTTTCCTCGAGAACACTCCGTTTCACAATGGTTGCAGTCTATTTCCAAATATGGGGATTGAAACAGGAGAAGAAGTCTACATTTGCTTCCACATGACTTAATTGCAGTTGCAAACTTCAATCCCAAGGCCTTTTGGTTCTACAGTAAAACTCAAATCCCAAGGCATGTTGGTTCTGCAGTAAAACAATGCAGTAAACATACCATCACTTTGTATCAATGACATGTTACTGAGGGGTTAGATGCTTTACCATCATACTACATTGTCTTTGATTAAGAGGACCGCCTCCGTGGTCTAGTGGTAGAGCGTCCGCACGGAGAGCGGAAGGTCCGGGGTTCGATCCCCGACCGCGTCATACCAAAAGACGTTAAAAGATGGTAGTTGTTGTTACCCTGTCAAGAGCTCGGCATCAAGGGGGCTTAAACAAGGACTGGTCGGCTCGGAGTCGGTATACTGTGTCTGAGTGGGGTATTCATGTTAAACTGCAGCATGGTATCTCAATGAGCTAGCACTACAAATCGGCATCAGTTCGGACTAGTACAAGCAGCCACACAAACACACACAAACACACACACACGTACAGGCACATCGCTATAAAAGTGCAATAATCTTGGACGCGACGTTAAACCCCACTTCACTTCACCTCACCCCTGATTAAGATGGTTCCCGATGTCAATTTGCGTGTTAAATGTATGAAGTCTTCTATTTTCCGAGGATGGACAGTGATATACAAGGAGAAGAAGTTTAAGTCTACATTGTTTATTCACTGATGACGTCGCAAGATGTAGTAAAGTAACTTTAGAAAGAAACAAAAACTGGAATCTTTGTAAAAAAAAAAAAAGAAAATGGTCAGTGATATAAAGTCATTGTTTACCATCTGTGTTGAATAAACTGTACTTGACGAAAGTTATTTTATTAAACCTACATTCATACATATGGACATTTAGCCGTAGGCATCACGCCCTGGAGTCTGGACCCGTCTTGTATTAACAGCAGCAGGTGTTGCGGGTATTGTATCCCCCACGATTGTCAACAGCAGGGTTGCATACCTATTATGCTTAGACCACATCCAACAACCGCATCGTGCTTGCCCCTCCACCAAAAATAACAAAAAACAAAAAACGTGTCTGACAGGTTCCCATGCGTCACGATTCTTTCACACAACACTTTCATAAATATGAACTCAGCACTCCCTATATCGATATTGTGTTATTTGAAAACAAAAAACAAAAAGATTAAATAACCACAGCTAGAAACACCCAGTTGGACTTGAAGTGAAGCTATATATATGAAATTTCAATTTTCAAAATTTCATAAGATTATCAGAAGATGGGTTTCACTTTTAATTTTCAACGTGTCCACAACTAGTTTCCAGTTCAGAATCGGGGAAGATTCGTCTTCTGATCAAGCATTGGACTTTAACGTCTCAGAACAACTTAAAAACATATTAATTTACTTTTTGACCGAACTTGATCTCTACGGAACAGAACTTTCAACTTGTCATACTGTGCCCAACTCACCTTAACAGTTGGCGGAACATTATTTAGTTTCGATAGAGAACAACGATCTCTATCGATTCAAAATAGGGACTGTTCAGTCATTTCAATTTTGGAGGTTGCCGAAATTAAGGAGGCCATAGAGCTCATCATTTCAGGTGAAGATACCATCCGACGTGTTGAATTCCAGAAGCAATTTCAACATTTGTGCTAATGTAAGTATTACAAGTTAGCATATTTCTTGATATAATCTGTTAATTATAGAACTCGAAGTTTTCAACCGTCAAAGAACTTGTCATTTTAAATTCACGCTTCCATATGTATATAATCATAATAGCTTAGTTTGACAACCTCTAATCGTGTGGGTATAACCTTTGCTTACCTACATAATTAGCTTACATACAAATTTGGTAAGCAACACTCAAATTGAGGCTCTGTGTGTGTGTGTGTGTGTGTTTGTGTGTGTGTGTGTGTGTATGGTTAACCATCTCAGCGTGAGACAATAGATACACGTGTCAACATTATTATATTTATCATGATAAAATTAGATATCCCATGTTTATAGAGTCCAAAGGTGAGATGAAGTTTCTCCCAAGAATTACATTGTTTATGATAGTTAAAAAACAAAAAAAACAAAATGCCGACATATGTCAGACAGGCTTTTCTCATGAGTTACAAAGTTTTATAATTTCAAAAGACATAATGCCGACACAGGTCTGTGATCTTTTCACTGTCAAAAGAAGATCAATGATACACCGCCTTATTTTTGTTGTACAAAGTCGACTCGTTGATTGACATGTCAACGGGGTTGTCAATTTTTCGCACGTACAGGTATGTCCTATGACACTATAAAAAGCGAACGTTATTCATTCGACTGATATCATTCCATAACGAAGCGCGGGATCTTGGTTGCGATATTGTGGTTTTCTTATTTTGTTGTCGGAAAAAAGGATATATCGACAACAAAATGTACACCAAACGGATCTATTCTTGTGTGTCCCCCGAGGGGTGGGGACACATACAGACACGTCGCGGGTGCCCCCTACTCTAACATCTACGTAATCAAAATGAGGGAGGGGGACAAGATCGTGATATCGGGGATTTTGTTTCCAAATTTGAAAGTAAGTGTTGTTTATCTACAACTTTGACATGATTGAAACAATGTTAAGAGTGGCGTTATATTCTAAAAAACGAAACTAATATTATTTTCCATGATGAATATTTTACAAAATATTATATTCTGTTTTCAGACCATCCACGGATCGTCAAGCGTTAAATGTGAAGATCTGATGCATTTTTATCACAGGTCCATTCTAATCAATCAAGAAGTCTGTCGATGTAAGTACAATGTAATCAAAAGATCCATGTTTGTTATTATTTTCAAGATTTATAGAATATGATTATATGTTCTCTTACATCGAAGAAAGTATATGAATTCAGAAATTCTACTATTAGATGTGTGAATTTGAACAAGGTCTTTAAATTGCTTCCATAAATCATCTTATTTGCTTAAATCTTGAACATGTTAAGACCCGCCTGTGATGTAATATAAAACAAGATAACAAAAAATATGTATTCATGAATAAGAGAGATATCTCTTTCAATATTATTATTAAAATACGTGCTTTTGAATTATCACCAAAACTGCTGTTCCACATGCATTTCGCGAGCATAGTAAGTGTTTGTATGTACGGGTGACAGTGGGGTGATTCAATATTACTGATGTCTCAATATGCTTTGAATTACCTACCGATCTCTTTCTCATCCCTAGCATTTATTCTTAAATTTCAGATACAACGTCAACTTCAGTAAATGCCACTAATACTTTACCTACTACTACTACTACAACTACTACTACTACTACTACTACTACTACTACTACTGCTGCTGCAACTTCTATTGCTACTACTTATATTTCTATTACTGCTGCTACTACTACTACTGCTGCAACTACTAGTGCTGCTGCATCATCTATTGCTACTAATGATACTTCTATTACTGCTGCTGCTACAACTACTGCTACTACTGCTGCAACTACTATTGCTACTACTGATACTGCTATAACTGCAACTACTCCTACTTCCACCACTGCTGCTACTACTACTAGTGCTGCTACTACTACTACTACAGCTGCTGCTCCTTCACCCATATTTATTCACTCTGCCAATGCTACAACCCCCATATATTATATTATATCCTCTTCTCACATAGTTACTGATGATTATGATGATGATGACGATGACGATGACAATGAAAATGATGATGTCGAGGCAGTGGTGGGGAGTGAAACAGGTACAATTATAATAATATTAATTGCTATCGTTTTATTCATGAGTACCAAACATATAGATGTAATATTATCAGGCATCATGATCCTTACCACATTGTAAACTATATGTATGTTTGTATGTATGTATGTATGTATGTACCACTCAATCTTCAGAAAGTACAGTTTAATAATAATCATTTCTAGCTATAACTACTGTTCTTAAACATTTTTATTCACACCGCTTTTTTCCTTTCTTTTCAGCCCGTCTTAAATCCCTCACAGACGCTATAGTTTCACTGATTGTGCTTGTATTGTTCACGATAGCGTCGGGTATTGTTTTCCGTTTTAGGAAAGCAATACTTCGACGCTGCCGTCTCGGACAACACCATCACAATCAGTGTGAGGTATCCTATGTACCTGCCTCTCCCCCACCCTGCCGTCGTCTTTCTCTTTCCCTCTCCATCATCCCGCCTCTACTATCTGTTTCTAACCCAATGCATGAACTTTCTTCTGTTGCAGCCCCATCACTTTTTGTTAGATCTGTTTCCACCCAGACCCCTGTCACTCCTCTTGTCTCCACTCCTCTGACCTCTATCGAGCCTTCTCTGATCACTCCTCTGACCACTCTAGCACCCAATCTCACCCCAAAGATTCCTTATTACCCCCCACCCTGCTCGATCCCTGATAACCCTCCACCCTGCTCGATCCCTTTACCATCCACCCCACCATCTTCACCCTGTAGTAGATTCAACCTGCCTCCCACCCCACTCATGGACAGTGCCACCCGACTCATAGACAACCTTCCACCCTACAGACTTACAACCCTGGGGAGCCGGCAGTCTTACAAGTTGAGACGATTGGGAGGGAAAGGAAGGAGACAAAACAAAACAAAACAAAACCTAGAAGTTCAGTAAATTTGTTTCTACTTTTGATATTAAAAAAATAAACACAAGTGTACGTTTTATATTGTGTTCTGTTCTCTGTTATGTCATGCTAGAGTAGTACTGAGACCGTGCGTGTGAAGGAGATCACGTGACGGAGGACAATACCCCTGAGTTTACATATGTGTGTGACCTCAATTTAACCCGTGGAAACTTTAGGCGTAGTGTGCCCTGTTACGTTGGGTGAGCCAGACAGTGTTGAAAAAATGTTATGCAAACACTATCGGCTAGGTCGGATAAACATTACCAGTGTTGGCAAGTAACAGTTTTTCATCAAGATCATTCATTCTTGTCGGGATCATGTGATTGATGCGGTCGGTGAAACACACTCATTATACCATGGGTTGAGGGTTTAACACTGACAGAGACAAGAAATCTCTCTTCCGTTTGTTATAACGAGGGATGTATGTCACAAGTCAGCTAAGGTTAGTAGTCTCAAACATTACTCCGGTCAGTGTTTCAGTCAACATGTGTAGGTCGATCAACCTGGTGACCTAATTTTGATTCAGGACACATCCACTTGTCATCAAAGTTTAACATAGCCCATCTTAGAGAAATCTGATAAAGATATATAAGAAATGAAGAGTAAGCCCATGTTTTGAAGTTGACTCAGCTGGAAGATTGGTTACAGATGTATGTTTCTTCATCTTAGTTTGTGACGTGATTTTGTGCTGATAATATCATTCCTTTCCGCGTCTGAGAAACCACTTTTTAAAACTACTCTCCGGTTATATGTACTGAAATGATGAAATTCAACTATCAATATTCTCGTTTAAGGTTTGAAAACACATTGTTAAAGAACAAGAGTTTTATGCATTAAAACTGAAACACGCTTGTATTGTTTTTTTCAATGAAATAAACTTGAGACATGATTTATTTTTTTTCATTGTAAATTGTTGACATGTGAAAGGATATCGTATAAAATGTCTTGAAACGACGTTATTTCACTCTATTTTTTCTGATGAAAATGATTCTGGGTATGGGTTAAACGAGTATTTTTTCCATTGAAATAGGAAACTGAACCGACATTTTGAACTCAAACATCTTTTAGAATAAAAAGAATAGAATTTTACAGTATTAAAACGTCTTATACCAGACTGGCATACACTACAGTCTTCAACACACGGGTTTCGCGAGACCGACTCTATAGTTCTCCGAGCTGACCTCTAGCTAGGAGTCAAGACTGTTAACCCTTATTTTTTTATTTAGTTGTCATGGCAACTGAATGTTAAAAGGAACTTATAAGAGGTAACACTAGAAGAGTTAAGAACTGGACATGTGGTTTCTATGGAAATTCAACTTACACCCCTCTTTACCACATGTGACAGTCATTACTTCGCGAAATACATGCATCAATGGCATATGTCTAACAATGACATTCCTTTCCCCGTGAATCACATTTGAATCTCGTAGTAGCCACTTCCATACAGGGACACTCATTACTACGCTGTGTTCTCACTTAATGAAAGGACTCATTAACACACTGCATTCGTGCATTGGAACAACAGACCTCTCATTAGCCTTTCTGACCTGTGACGTCATGATTATATTTGACTATAAATGACTTAATGCACTTGCGGATCAACTTAGTCTCATATCGCTTTGTGGAATGGGGCCCCATAGAACTGACTTGTAGGTCAGGCGCGAGATTCAAACCGAGCACACGTGACACGTTCATGGCAACGTCCGCCATCTTGTTTTTAGACACTTGTTGTTCTACGTTTAACGAATGGTCAAGTAATTATTTGCATGATTGCATCCAATCAGTTGACTCTTAATGAACGTAATTGAATATCGGGAGATCATTCTACATGAACCTGTTCCTGGGTTTTTTAATCCTACCACACATAGCCCGCCCCCGAATGTGCATAGAGAAATGTCTTCAACGCAAAAGGTTCAAATGTTCACCACATGTTCTCGCGCCAAAATGGTCTTACAATGACATTCCATTCCGCGTGAGTCAAGACCCAACCCAACCCCCGGTCGTTGTAACATGTCCATATAGGGACATTCATTACTATCCCGTGTTCTACGGTTAACGAATGGTCAAGTCATTAATTGCATGATTGCATCTGGTCAGTTGATCCTTTATTAACCTAATTGACCTGTGACGTCATGCATACATTTGCATATTAATGAGTTATTTTGCATATTAATGAGGCAATGACGTTGACAACACACCCCCACCCTCAAGGTCAAGGTTATATGACGTCATCAGTCACGTGGGGTTACTAGGTGCACTTGTGACGTCATCAAATGAGGATGTGAGGATGGATAGTTATCCAAAGTTATCTACTCACGGGCAAGGTGTATTCATTTAGCTAGCATGTGATGAGAGGGACTCTCTGAGTGAATTTAAATGTTAATACACATGTCTTTCTGTATGCGTTCTTACTGTTAGGTTGATTAAGGACGTACAATAAAAGTGAGGGTCTCTTCACATAGGAAGAACCTTTTCATGTATTATTGAAAAAGACATCGCATCGCATTTCAATCATTCAAAAGATAACTTTTGAAACGCAGAAAGTATTACGAGCTGATTTGGTTTTCAGTCAATACGTGTGGCATGCCTGGCGATGACGCTAGCATTATTTGTGTTGTGAAAGAAGATTAATATTATCGAAGTTGTTTCGTGAATTCAACACTGTAGTCGTATATCTCCCATGACAACAAACCTTAGTGTCTATAGAGGTTATCACGCGAGTGTGTTTGGGGATGGTAAATATCCTGCATTAGGAATAAACATTGTATATAGCGAGCCTTGGCGAGCTAAATACATAGTGTTTATTCCTAATACAGGATATTTACCATCCCCAAACACACAAGCGTGATAACCTCTTTATCATATAATGTCATTCTTTAATTCTGTGCTTTAAAATCGCTTTCCCTCTCTCACAAACATTACCGAAACATTGCGAGTTTTCCTGGAATGCGCGCATTAATATTTATTACGTCACAGGGTAAGTGATGTGTCAGTAGGACTGTGACAGTAGCCAATATAGTTCCAACTGAAATCTGTTTCATATACAGTGGCGAAGCAACTTATACGCAAAACAACAGTTGTTTTTAATTGCCTTTCGTGGCAATCCATCGGTCTGTCCGCTAGAGTAACTGCCCTTTGTCAAAGGGAAGCTACTCTAACCCTAGTCTATGAGTCACGGCCACGGTCAGACGTTGTTGACAGTCGGTCTGTCCTTTCATAACGTTAAGAAGTGTAGTCAGATGTACACACAGTGACAAATCGAAACAAGGTAACAGTTCAAACATATTTCGGCCGAATCCAACCATTTTGATTTGTGGAGAAGGTTTCAAGCCACAGAGGTCTACAAGCACAGATATGGCTACTAATCCCGCTTGGCTAGGCCTCGTGCCCTCGCAAAATTGTTTCTCGAAAGTTGCCAAAACTTATAAAATGCCTTAGCTACGTCATGGTTAGACACTGATTTTCAGTATATTAGACTGTTCGTTTGATAATGATGGCAATTATCCCTGTAGTTTATCCAGATTCACGATGGTTAATTCTGACTCGATCGCCGAATGACGAGGGCGACGCCATGTTTGTTTATAAACAGTGAAAGTAGTCCTACTTGACCTTTGGTATTTGCATCTCTATCCGCATATGACCCCAACGGATATCGTTTTTATCCGTTGGCTTTATCCTGCCGAGAAACCTACCCATTATATGATAAATCTATTTACGTGCGGATACTTGTGTGAGATCGGAATGTCCACATGTTTTCCTTTTGGGTTATTTTTGAATATCACCAGGGACCTTTTGAATATAACGAATAATAGTTGTCCTATATCGTGTGGTGCGTGATATTGCGTCTTACGGTACTGATGTGACAAGTTAACCCTCTATATACAATAGTTGTATTGGTAGTTGTAATAAATGTAGCAGTAGTGATATGATAGTTCTGGACAGTAACTAGAAGCCATTTTTGAAGTAGCAGTGGCAGTAGTTGTGATAGCCACTGGCCACTGGTAGTAGTAGTAGTAGTAGTAGTAGTAGTAGTAGTACCAGTTCTTGTTTGGGTGCATCAGCTACCCAGACAGTCTACATGGCAATTTAACATTATTTAAGAATCACTCACTAGATGGACCCCTATTTTTGAATCCATTAACACACATCATTTACTATAATTGTGTCAATATATATAAATTGTCATTTTTCTGTTTTGTTATAGTGCAAACCATTTCGAGACTATTCTTAAAAACTTCAATTATCCACAGCACTGTCTATGAATGTCAAGTCCCGGTGCCCGTTCTGTCATGCTATTATCAACCTGTACCCTTTCGATATATTTCAATCCATCAACAATAGATATGGCCGCTGTGGTCTCAAGCTTCACCCCTGAGTTTTCTCTTCGGTCAACACCCTTAGTATCCGTATTGTGCATGCATCCTGATAACAACCTCTGGTATCAGTCTAGTTTCGTTGGCCGCTGGGGCCAACGTAAGGTCAAAGCAGAAAATCATCACCACCCAGGTGTTGCCGTTTTACGTCCTGTCTAGTAGTGGGTAACTGTGGAAACACCTACTGTCCGGATCTTAGAAAGAAAACACACATAACACAAGTTTTCTGGGTGTAGGGTGCATAAAATGTCAAAAATGGTGGAAGTTGATGTCCGGCCGAAACTATGACTCAAATCTCCATGGTCCACTCTAAATCTTGCAACTTGCTGACCTCTTATAATCAGGATATCGGGATGGCAAAGGTGTGGTTGATTTTGCCAAATTCCTCATGATTTCCATGGTTTCCTGCATCTAGAATCTGTCCAACAGCATACGGATGGTAGCTAAGGGTGTTGACAGAAGAGAAAAAACACAACCAGACACTACTACAAGCCGAGAAAGAGAAAGGATTTTTTAATTGGTCAATTTATACAATCACCATTCAATACACATCGGATCAATCCCATAGGTGTGGTAGAAGCGCAATATTCACACAAACTGAGACTGATAGTAGACTTGCCAGCACCACATGACAATGCTGAGCATCCATGCCTCAATTCGCTATCCGCCAAAGAGCAGTATTCTCTCACCTTTGTGCGCATCGATGATGCCATAAACATTATTAAACAGTTGGGAAAGGGTCCCCACATGTGCAAAGCTGACATAGCTGATGCCTTTAAACTAATTCCAATTCCCCCGTCCATCTGACATCTTCATGGAATTTTGTGAATGGATCAAATATTTCATTATACCAGGTTAGTCTTTGGTTGTCGGTCCAGCCCAAAACTATTTGACATCCTCTTGGATACTTTACGCTTGATTGTTACAAATGTGTTCAACATACCTCACATTATTCATGTGCTTGATGATTTCCTGACAGTAGACTCTTCACTGGCAGAAGGAAGAACAATGTCTTAGCTGCTATACACGTTCAATATTCCACTATCTCATTACAAGACTGTTGGTCCTA